GTTCCTCTTCGAAATGTGGGAGCGCCTGTATTATGGATCACTAAACTCATAGACGCTATCCATTCAGAAAATATGGTTCCTCTACTGTCAAAACCCGGTGCGCCCCATTTCGGGAACTTAGCTTTGAAGTCTCCCAGGATAATCGTAGAGCCATCCGGGCAGATACCGCTTAGGCAACCAGCCAGGTCCTCCTCAAACATACGCAATCCTTTATTCGGAGACAAATAAACAGACCAGGTCCATGTCCTTCAGTGATATTCTGATGAAACCAGGGCCCGGATCCACTGTTGTTGCCTGAATGCTACGATTTGTAAAGACCACCGCCACATCCAGCCTGAGATCGACTATCCAACTTCTGTCCCTAGCCAGCTTCCTATTAGGCTCCGACATGACAACGATGTCAGAGTTTTCCTTCGCCTAATTTGCGAACACCAGGTTCGTCGAAGCCCGAGATCTATTTACATTGGTCTGCAGTACAGTAATGTGCTGCGTAGGTCTTAACAATGAGGAAGACGTTTAATAAAATAGTAAAACTAGTCCCTACGTTGATTCCTCCGTATCTTATTTATCAGTGCCCTCATCTTGGAGCACGCTCCACTTCCGGCTCTATGTCCATCTCTTGCGCATAACGGACAAAAGCTATTTCTGTCACAGTTTCCCGCACTATGCCCCCAGGTCCCGCATTTCAATCATGCTTTAGTGCTATCTGGACCTTTGCAGTCTTTTCAGTCAAAACCCCAGCATCTCTGGACATTTATTCACTTTTTCATTTTGCATTTTATCAGTCCTATTTTCACACCACCTTCCTCTATTAACCTTTCGCCCCACCGTCTATCCATTCGGATATTTGCCGTCCCTCCCCTTGCCGTCTGCCTAAAAGCTTCAAGGACCTCTTCCTCGCTGCAGAGAGTATCTATATCCCTGACGATATATCTCTGTCGTCCTTCTCTTTCTTCATCAGCTTCTCTACATTTCAGTTCCTGTATCTTTTTATCCATTATTTCCTTGATCTTATCCCCTGTCTCGTGGTCCCTCATTTCTGATGTAAAGAATATATTTATTATATTACTGTGATGGGTAATAAATCAAACGCACAGCACTAAGCTTCCACAACGACTAACTTTATTAAAACTGCAGTGTGTATGCTCAACAGAAAGTAGTTGGGGAGTCTACCAATAGATGGCGCTAGTCGCCACTGAACTATAATTTTTGATACATTTCAACACCCCCACTTACCAAAAATGCACTAATCCTAAGTCTGATACAAATTTAGAATGTTTAACATTCTTCAACCCTTTTCTCAAAAAATCAGCCAACATTTCGTCAGTACACAAGTATTTGATATCGATAACTTTATTCTGCAAAGCTTCTCTAACGAAATGATGTCTGATATCAATGTGCTTTGACCTTTCGTGGAAGACTGGATTACTACACAATTTTTGAGCTCCTTGATTATCGTTAAACAGCTCAATGCAATCCAAACTTCCATTTATTTCACTCATCAAATTTCGCAAATAAACAGCCTCTTTAGAGGCTTCACTTAGGGCAACATATTCTGCCTCCGTGCTCGAGAGTGCAACTGTTTTTTGTTTACAGCTTCTCCAAGAAACAGCGCCTCTAGAAAGCTTGAAAATAAAACCGGTATAAGATTTCCGATCAGTTTTATCGGAACCCCAATCGGCATCTACATAACCTTCTAAATGTAAAATCTGATCGTCCCCTCTAAATGTGAGGCGATGATTTTTTGTGCCTTTTAAATACCTGAGCACTCCTTTTGCGCACTTCCAGTGGTATTCTGTGTGGCGATTGTTGAATTGGCTCAAGAAACTCACACTGTACGCAATATCTGGACGTGTCAGGACAGCCAAAAACATCAAATTACCAATTAATTTTTGGTACAATGGGTTTTGACCCGTATCATTTAAAAAGCTTTCATTGAAATCAAAATTATCAATTGGTGTACTGACACTGTTACAATTTTGCATGTTGAATCTTTCAAGTAAATTATCGATATATTCACTCTGATCTAAGCTAAGGACATTTTTATTTCTGTGAATTCTCATGCCTAAACAAAGTTTTAATTCACCTAAATCCTTTATTTTGAAATTAGAGTTTAGTTTGTCTTTCAAAAAATCTGTTTCGTCCTTATCGTTTGAAAAAACTATAAAATCATCGACATAAAGTGCAATGATTATCAAGGACTTACTATTTCTTTTTATATACAAGCAAGGTTCGTAATCAGATTTTTTGAAACCGAGGCCAATTAAAACTTCATCTACTTTTTGATACCAGGCTCGTGATGACTGCTTGAGTCCGTAAATGGCCTTTTTTAATCTGCAAACTTGGCTTTTTTTGCCCTCAATTGCGAAACCTTCAGGTTGACGCATCAAAACAGTTTCATTTAAATGGCCGTTTAGAAAAGCAGTCTTCACGTCTTCACATCTAGGTCTAGTTTTACAGAAAATGCTAGAAGTAAACGTAAACTGGAATACCTTATCACTGGTGCAAATGTTTCATCGTAATTAATGCCCGCCTTTTGGGTATAGCTTTTTGCCACGAGTCGCGTGCGATAACACTTTTTATTCTCATAATTAAACTTTTTTAAATACCTACTTGCACTCCACCACTGTACCACTTTCGGGAAGGTCAACTAAGTCCCACGCATCATTTTCTTTGAAGGACATCATTTCTTCCTCCATGGTTCGCCGCCAGCAGTCTGCATCAGGTCGGGAGAGAGCATCTCGTACGTCTTCTTGCAAATTGGTTTCATTTCGTTGGCATTGAAAGGTCACGTAGTCATCGTACTTCTTGGGTTTTCTTTCACGGTTGGATTTTCTTGTCTCGTCAGGAATCTCGGGGGTTTCTACATTTTGTGGTAGGTACTCAGGGACGTTAGAGTCATCAAAGGTTTCATGGAACATTTCATCGTCATTTGGATGTTCGAAGGGTTGCAAATTCTTATCAGTGTCCCCCACTGAAGCTGAAACATCTTCCGTCACATCATTTGACGTGTTTTCATCACTAAAAAAGTTAGTAGTACAGGGCATTTTTAATTTTTCACTCACAACTACGTCTAGGCTAGTGATGACCTCCTTTTTTATGGGATCGTACAGTCTGTAGCCCTTAACATTATTGTTCCGTAACCTACCACAAACATTTTTTCAGCTTTCTTGTAAAATTTTTGTCTTTTGTGCTTGGGTACATGGATCATAACTTCACTCCCAAAGCACTTCACATTACTGACATCGGGTTTTCTACCATACCATACTTCATATGGGGTTTTGTCCTCAAGACCTGTTACTACAGAACGGTTTCTTAGATATGCAGCCGTGTTTATGGCTTCTGCCCAGAATTCTATTGAAAATTCAGCTTCAAATAACAAACAGCGAGCTTTTTCAACCAGCGTACGGTTCATTCGCTCAGATATGCCGTTTTGTTGTGGCGTATAAGAGTTTGTTTTTTGGTGTACAATGCCATTTTGTCTTAAAAAATTGTCAAAATCAAAACTACAAAACTCTCCACCATTATCTGACCTAAAAGTTTTTATGGTCTGTCCTGTTTGGTTTTTCACAAGGCATTTAAACTCATTAAACTTTTCTAGGGTATGATCTTTGGTTTTCAAGAAATCAACAAACACCATTTTGCTTAAATCATCCTCAAGTATTTGGAACCGCCTATTGATGCCGTTTCCATCGGGCCACACAAATCTCCGTGTACTATTTCTAACAATTTTGTGGCCCTAGTTCCCTTGTGTTTAAAAGGTAGTCTCGCTTGTTTACCTTCACAGCACACCTTACAAGGCTCATCAACCTTTGGTTGTCCTTTGTAATCAAGACCTTGAACCGCATCATTTTTCATCACATTAAGGTGTCTGTAATTAATGTGCCCAAAACGTCTGTGCCACACATCACTTGTTATAGCAACCAATACACCATGAATATTGTAAATTTCACATCCTTCTTCATCGAAAACAACTTTGTTTTCTTTCTTAATCAACTAGCCTACGGACAACAGGTTCTTTAAAACTGATCCATCGCTTGGAGTTCTGCTGAACGTGCTTTTTGCGCATTTACCCATTTGACAGATGACAGTCTTGTTTTGTTTGTGTTTTGTGGATAATTTCGTGGAATATGATCGATGGGATCGGTAACGACGGCATGGGCCCTCGGTGGAGACCTCGGGAGTTCTAATCGAGCTCCACGTTGGGCGCCATGTCGCGATATATGACCGTTGTGCCTAATGTTTGAGAATTGTGCTGGGAATTTGCAACATGGGCTCGCCGTGAAAACGTCGAAGCAGGACTTCGAGCCCCACGTCGAACGCCATGTCGCAGAATATGATCTGAATGTTGTGTTTGGTCGGCATGGGTCCTCAGTGGAGGCATCGGGAGTTCTAATCGAGCTCCACGTTGGAAACCATGTCGCAACCTGTGATCTGGGATGTTAGTTCCCTTGACCGGGTTCCGCGGCAGGAACGCACGGAGTTCACGGGGATCGTCGCTATCGACGCCCGGTCGCACTATATTCTCTGACGATTGGAATCTGTGGTGGATATGACCTACAGACGTGGTGTCTAGGACACGAGCTCGCGGGGGAGATCTCGACGAAGAAGNCCCAGATTTAACGTTACAGGCAATAACTGATCGCTTGGTACAGTTACATTAATAAAAAATATGTACAAGAATTAGAAAGAGAGCAACCTTCGTCACATTATTGTGTAAAACCGGCTGGTGGCAGTGATTGTATATTGGAAGTAGTCAGACGCTCTAGGTTACTAAAAATGCCATCCATCCTTTGGTGTGTAACTCTTTTTTGAAGCACCTTGTATAATTCAAAATAATTTTAAAATGTGCTCCTACTGGATCTATATATCTTACACTAAAAAGATTTTAAAATAATTTTATGGCTTTTCCTCAATAGACTGATGCAAATAGAGCACGCCACCCTGTATAAAAAAAATTTGTGGAAATTGTGCAACACCCTCGAAATTTTATATGGGTTTTCAGGTCAAGTTTATACACACTGTATGTAGATATACATTTTTTTTGTTTGCAGAATTTGGTAAATATTTTGGGAAGAATAGTTGACCATGAGCATGATAAAATTGATTTTGGTAAAAAGGTACTTTTTACAATATGGACGATTTCAAAACCAGAAAGTTTTCTGGCTGTTGGAGACAGATTTGATTTTGGAAAAAGCACTGCCCATGGAATTTTTAAAGAAATTGTTGCAGCTTTAGCTAACCTCATAAGAGAATATGTTAGGTTTCCTCAAGTAAATGAATACAACCTCTCAACAGTTGTAAGTACTTTTGATCAAATATGTCTAAAAGGTAGCTATCTACAGGGTGATTTCAAAGTACTGTCATTCCTTTTAATAACATAAAATTTAACAAAAAAATTAGTTTTTTATTCATAGCACAAAAGCCCCTAAGCCGATTTTCACTGAACATGGCAGGTTTGTTTGTAATAATAAAAGGTATCTCCTGACAGAAGTAGATTTACCGTCATTATTCCAGTGACATTCCAGAGGGTAACCTGATTGATATTTATGATAAAAATTATTGTACTCCAGTTTTTTTAAAAGTTTGCTATTTGTATCAGATTAAGCAAATAAAAACACAACTTTTTTTGTCTCTTCATTCTTTTTTATATCTAGCTGGCAAGTCCCTGAGCTAGAAAAATTCTCCAAACTTTCTCTAGTTTTGTACCAATGATAATAACATTAAAAGGAATACGACAGAAACCGTACAACGCTGTCAAAATTTAATAGGGGTTTTCAGGTCAAATTTAAACACACTGTAGAAAACTATGAATAATAACATACAATAATCTTTCTGTCTCAGGCATTTCAACAACGTTCTAGGGGGTTTCCTGGAGTTGTGGGTGCTATAGATGGCTGTCACATCCCTATAAAGCAACCACGGGGAAATGAACATGACTTTTATAATAGAAAGGGATTTCACTCCATAATTTTACAAGGTTAGAACAGTTCCAAGAAAAGTAATACGATTTTTAAATTGTTTGCTTAAGTTTCTTTTTATTTTATTTTAGGAACTTGTGACCATATGGGAAAGTTCATAGACTGTTATATTGGTATGCCAGGGAGGATGCATGATGCTAGAGTTTTTAGAAACAGTAATATATATGAACAGTTAACAAATGAAAATAATGCATTACTACCAGCAAATGTACATATTATTGGAGATAGTGCATATCCTTTAATGACCAACGTAATGGTCCCTTACAGAGACACTGGGCATTTAACACCTAGTGAAATCAATTATAATGTTAAATTAAGCTCCATTAGATCAATTATTGAGAGAGTTTTCGGAATTTTTAAAAATAAATTTAGACGTCTGAAGTATTTGGATATTTCTGATCCTGATTTTGGTAACCAAATAATTGCTGCTGCAGTTGTATTATACAATTTTTTGGTAACACAGGGGGAAATAAATTTATACGAAGAAAATTTGGATCTAGAAAACATGGGACCTGTAATTGAATTTCAAAATAATGATGTAATTGAAAATGAGGCTGTTCAAAAGAGAAATATCATTTATGCAAATTTGTAAAATATATATTTTTGTGTTTTTATTTATAAATAAAGTTTGTTTTAATAAATAATGTTTATTTTAATAAATACTTGTTTTGATTTATGAATAATTTTTATTTGTAACGTAGGTAATCAACTCTCATGTCTAGCCCAGGAACAATTTGCTGGTCTAGCCTCTAGGTTCCTATACCTATTGCACATTTAAAAAAATAATAAGTTAACGCTACATACAACACTTGAAATAGAAACTTCCATGTATACTAGTAACGGAAAATGAAACAACAAATTTTTACATTTTAAGATGGGGATCTAAAACTTTTCAAAAAGTCAGTGTTTTTAGGTTTTTGCATTTTTCTTGTTTGGTGGTTATTTTTTCACAAAAATACCTGATGACATTCTTTAATTTACCTATTTCCTTTTTTGTAGTAACCAAAATAGATTTTAAAACTGTCCCAAATTTGAAATTAATAAATTGATGCTAATTTAAGAGGTTTTTCTTTATTATATTTTCACCAATTTATTAATTTCAAATTGGGGCAATTTTAAATTATATCTTGCATGGTCACTATACAAAAAGAAATATCCCAAAAAATGTTATCAGATATTTTTGTAAAAAAATTACAATCTTCAAACAAGAAAAATGCAAATACTTTCTCAAAACTTTGAACTTGTTGAAAAATGTCAGAACCCCATCTTAACGCTAAATACAACAGTTTAAATAGAAACTAAAATAAATAAAAAATAACATATCAAATAGGAACTAAATTAGTAGGTAACACAACCTTAAATCTAAGTAACACTAACTGTAGACCGAGCTGTAAACTTATTTTTCCAAGATTTGCCTTAATATTTGATTTCTTTCTTGTTGTATCTCATTGTTTCTCTCTAGAGCTTCTCTCAGTTTTTTTACTTCTTCTAATCTTTGACTTTCTATTTCTTGGATTTTTTTTCTATGATCATAAAGCTGCTTAGTTCTGTTTGCCTTTCTGACTATCAGTTTCTTTTTGTTTGTTTTCATCCACTTTTGGTTTACTACTAACTTTAATACTTTGTTTTTGTATGTTTTCCAATTTTGAACTTGGATCCTCTGACATTTGAATGGTTGGGCAGGTTTCAAAGTTTAAAGTGGCTTGGGAATCTTTTAAAACTGATTCCATTGTTGATATAATCGATGTTGGGTTTATAGTTTTATCATTAAAAAAAATATCATCCATAGTTTCAAAATATTCCCAAGTTATGGCTGATTCTCCAGTTTTATTTTTTTTATCTTTGTTATCTTTGTAGGTCTTTTTTAAATTCCTCATCTTCCTATCCAATAACTCTATGGTTACAGACTTATAACCTCGGTTGTTAAATTCCTTTAATATCTGAAGCCAAATATCCTTATTTTTCATTTTGGTATTCCGAAAGAGATAATTTTTTTCTTTATACAAATTTAACAGAAGTAATGTTGCTTGCCTCGTCCATTTAAATTCATCGGGATTGTTATCTATGAGGTTGCCTAGAAAAACATTTTAATTACCTAGTTGACACACTGACTCTCCTAAACCCAAAATTAGTATAAAAATAAGCTTATTCTCTCTTACTTGTAATTAATTCTGATGGACAATCATTAATTGTAACGGGAAGAGGTATTTGGGGAAAATGTTTAGGGTTGTCACCAATATCTTCTTTGTTTCCTTGATCTGGGAATTGGGTCTTTAAACTTCCAAAGTATTCCTCACAGAATCTTGAATCTAAAAATATTGATAAATTAATAGAACGAGACCCAAAATGTAATGAACAGATATAAAATTCTTACCACCTTGGAGCCGTTGATAAAACACATAACTTCCATTAACATTATAAATTCGGTCCTTAAAATCATAGGTAATCATTATTTCTTCTCCTGGGTTCATTTTGATTTTAATATTCAAAATAAAAGTTACAGCAAATTCAAAATTTTTAAATTTAAATTTATCCTAACAGTTTTGAAAATGACAGTTGATGACTGATGACACAAAATAGTGGTTGATGTATCAGTGATCGGTAGCGTAGCGTAATTTTATTTCGCTCGAAAAAATGGCAACCGCTCGGGAGCGCTCCTAACTGATCATTTAACAAAACAGGCGTTCGGCAGAAAATTGATGATCGCTCCGGTAGCACTACGTTCTGCTGAACGCGACCAGTAAATCGCCCCTTTGCGTCCTTCTGACTCCCGCCAGGTTAACATCAATATTTGCACCCTGCACTTCCTCCTTTACCTTTTTTAATATCTCTTTCTAGGTGTAACCCTCCTCACTAATTACGATCGCCGGGTTTTTATATTCTCTTTTCCTTCCCTCCATCCTTGTTTTGTGTCGTCTTTTATATACTTCAATATTTATATTGTCTCTTCGCAGGAGACACTCAAGCATTTTCGCGATATTCTCTTCTTCTGATAGCTCCCCGCTTCCCACCACCGCATGGACTCTTCCTAGTTTTTTCATATGATCCAGAAGTCTTTGCACGATACCGAAGTTTCCATATCGACTAAATCAAATATCTTGAGCCTTACAGTTCCTTCCTTTAATCTCGCCATAATGCCTTTAAAAAGTTTCCTCTCCTGCTGCTTCTCCCCATGGTGCCCTATGTCGGCTCGCCGGTTTGTGCCCCTATTTTCAGTAACATCTCTATGTTGTCCCTCAGCCTCCCTGGTCCTCATTCCAGTCTCTGATACCAGCGACCCGGCCTGGTCTCTCACCGGTGTCGCAAAACAGTCGCTTGATGACGGTCGGGGGGGACCTGCCCGAAGTTCACCCACACTGACCGGAACTGGGGTCTCCCTCCCCTGCTCCGTAATCACTTTCCCTTCTTTTGTGCACTCCATTTTTTTAGAAGAGAAAGTGCCCAGGTCCATGGCATGAGTCGTCAACGTGTATCCAATCCAGAAGAGAAGAAAAGAGGAAAATAGAGGTCCCTAGCCATCGGGTAACCTAATAGCATCGGGACCGGAAAAACAAGAAAAGGCCAAGAAAGGCCAATAGAAAGGTAGATATTTTTTAACCTGGCCAACATGCTACTTGACAGATTTCTTTGTAGCATATTTTTCGCTCCAGTCCTTATGACTGCAGTGGGGAGGTAGAGTTAGCAGAGAAATGCCATTATTTTTACATTTATTGAGAACACGGACATCATAGTGGCTTTCGTGATTATCAAGGATTAGGACAACTGGGTGTTCTTTACTACAACGCACATGTTTGACAAAGTGTTAGATACATTTAAGAAAATTTTCAGCCGTTATCCAACCGCTCGGATGGGCTGAAGCGTCGGATCCTGGAGGAGCACCCGTATGCATGAACGATGTAACTGTTTTTCTGGGGAGTATAAAGAATGAGGGTACAAATGTACCATTCGCACAAATTGCTGCACACATTATCACTAAGATACCTCGTTCTGCACTTGTAACCTTCTCGTTTTTCTTTAATACTGGCCAGAATCTTGGAAGGTTTATGCACATTGGTAATGTTTGTTCTGTCACAGTTGAATACTTGGATGGGTTCAATGTTGTATTTTGCCATTCTATGTCTCTACAATGATGATAAAGAAATCACAATATAGAAATTCCCATTATGAACCGTGTCCCACTATGGACCAGTTTACCCTAAGTGCTACCTCAGGATAGGTATAGATATCATTTGAATTAAATCTTGTATCAAATTTTATATTCCAATTTGCACAGGGTGTGCAAATTTGGATATTTTTAGAGGCTCTTGTTAACTAAAAGAGATGAACCACCCATCCTAGATCTGTTTATTAAGAGAAAATATAGTGATTCTGTGTATTACATGAATAAATTTGAAACCAAGGATTAAATTTATAATATTTTTTAGTCCTATACTAAAATTATTTTTATTATTTACCTTTTCCACCAACAGTTTGAAGCGTCACACACTAAAAAATTAAAACAGTTTTGTATCTTTAAAAATATAGGTAAATAATAAGTAACCGAAATATAAATCAAGTCTTAATGAAACCTACAAATCAATTACAAAATAAAGGAGTAACGGTAAATACTGAAAAAATAACTTCCTAAATATTAACACAAAAATAACAAAAAGTACCCTCACCAGTGACTGAAATTTATTATCATTTGTTAAGGATTCATTTAATTGTTCCAACTCTTCCTTTGAACAGCAGGGCTGTACAGGTGTTATTGTTCTTGATATTGCGTCATCAGTTATACCTTGAACCAATATTAAAAACTTTAAGTCTTCGCCAATACTCTTGATTTTGGCCATTAGGTTAATGAGGATATCTGAAATTTGAGTAAATCATATAGAACAGAACGACATGTAGATATTTTAGAAATGTATTCCTTAGTTAAAAATAAGATTTTTCTTTCCTGTGAACATGCAGCGAAAAATCAAAACAATAATCAACAGGTATATTAAAACAAAGGTATGACCCTGGAAGGGTACCATGGGAAAAATATTTTTTATCTTATATCTGAAACTAGTTGTTGTAGTTTAAATAAATTCGCGGTTTATCTATCGTATAGGTACATCGAGTCCTCGGACTCACTGCGGTTAAGCCTATCTAAGGTAAAGTAAAGTATAAAAATATGATTAAAAGTAAAGCAAGCGTAGAAAAACGCATATTCTCAGATTTACTACTGTCAAATAAGATAGAAAAAATACCTCTTGTCAAACCAATACTCAGATCTTACAGTGTTCAGTTCAATAACGGTGTTATTATTCCCCCGGGAATCCGTCGCCAAAATACAGTCCACTAGAAGTAGCCTTTGCAGAGCCCACACCCACATTATCTCCACATAAACTTGGTCCTTCGAGCCGGATAGTCGCAATAAACAGAAAAAAAGGAAGCCCCAAGAAATCTAATTAAAGCCCAGATACCCTTTGAAAAAAACTAAAGACATCACAGTGCGTCTCAATAAAAGGAAAGTCGAGAGCTGTAACCCCGTGTATTGAGAAGTGAGTAAGAGTAAGACATCCCAATCCTCGCAGTCCCCCAGAGTGCGATTCCAC